ATGTCAAAATATGCAAAAAGTGTAAACAGGATTTAGTACATAAAGTACTAGGTATAAAAATAACCCTAACAAATTAATTGGCAATTTTATTCCTGCAGGGTTAAAAGTGTAATTTCTACCAAATAAATAATTATATTAATTATGTTACACTATTTTTGTACGAGTAAAATGCCAAAAAAAAAAAAACAGGGGACTACTGTGCTGCCTGTATGTTGGACATTGTTAGGGGACAAATTACAGTATATAAATTATTGAGAGTGTGAAAAGTGTGTTTTAAATCCACAGGGACAAAAGGACATGTAAGACATGCACTATTATGTGTTATTTACATCTGAAATACAAAATGACTATATTTTGCACAACATTTGTCTATTTATGCAAAAACAGCACCAACTGAGTTCAATCAGTTCCAAGTCAACTACAGCTCAAAAAAATCATGAGAAATAAGTTAGTTCCTTTCTTTTGTTAAACGAGTCTGTGCCTATTCACATGAATCAGTGTCTCCGGGAAATGGGAAAAACAGTGTGAAAAAAAAAGCAAGCATGCAAAGGATTCCAGACACAAACAGACACAACTAAATAAATACAGTGGAGACACACTGGAGAAACAGAGGAAAAAAAGATCATGGAACACATGATTTACACAAGAGAAACACATCCTGACACACACACAAGCATCCTCAGAGGATGCAGCACAGGTATTCACACACACACACACACACACACACATGCACACTAGGGTGGCCCTTATTTTTGGACTTTTGAAATCTTCTGCTCTCACCCGCCCAGTCAACTCCCCTTCATAAGAAATGGAAACGAACCAAGTTTTGCTTAATTACCATAACAGCCCATAATTAATAATTATACAAGACTATTATTAAACTGTGAATTAGGTTAAAAACGAGAACACAGAACAGTGTTGTTAGTCTTAAAATGTTAAATTACATCAGCACTGATGGGCACCAACATGTAGCACTGTTGCACTTCAGGCGTCTGGAGTTCGAGTCCCAACTCATGGACCTTTCCCGATCCTGTCTCCCTATCTCTCTCACACTTTGCTTCCTCTCCACTTACTGTCCTATCGAAATAAAGGCATAAAATGGAGAAAGAAAAAAAAAAGTCAAATTACAACACTGCTGATGAGAACTGATATTTGAAAAATTGCGAACTGATCTAGATTGTGATGGTGAAGAAAGTGAACTTGGAACAAAACTGAGATCTGATCTAGATATTTATGATGATCCAACAAATCCTTCAACCACAGTACTCTTGCAGGGACCTGGAAACAGATTTCGGTGCCCTCTGATAATCTGCATAATGAACTGCCATTGTCGTAACATGTTGCCAAGTATGGTAACCCATACTCAGAATTTGTGCACTGCATTTAACTCAAACAAGAGCACACACAGCAGTGAGTAGTGAATACCCACACACACACACACCCGGAACAATGGGCAATTTGCTCCAGCGCCCGGGAAGCAACAGGGGGTTCGGTGCCTTGCTCAAGGGGCACCTCAGTCGTGGTTACTGAAGGTGGAAGAGAGCACTGTACATTCACTCCCCCCGTACTGAGACTCGTACCCACGACCTTCAGGTTACAAGTGTGACTCTCTAACCTTTAGGCCGCAACTGCCCCTCATCTAATAGAAACAGTCAAAAGTTGATCAGTGAACAAAACCTCCGCTAATATAACCAATCAGATCTTGAAGTACCTGTTGATAAAAAAGATACATTCTTTGAGCATACCCTAAATGTCAAATTATCTGGATGGTATTTTGCATACATTACATACTTCTAGTGGAGAAACAAGTGAGGGGGTGAGAGGTTAACACCCCCCCCCCAGTAAGCCACCCTAACACAAACACACTGGTTTCCATGTATTATGGGGACATTCCGACATTTTATACTGTCCAAACTGTATTTTTTTATCCCCTTACCCTACCCCTACCCCTAAACCTACAGATCACAGAAAACTTTCTGCATTTTTAGATTAAAAAAAAAAAAGTATGGTTTAAAAGCTTTCCTCATGGGGACCAACAAATGTGCCCACAAGGATAAGGACTGTGGATATTGCCATATTTGTGGGGACATTTTTCCCCATAATGTAAGGTATACCTGAACAACACACACACACACACACACACACACACACACACATAAAGCAACCAAGAGAGAAAAACCTCAATGGTTCCTCTTGAATAATCAGCTTAATGGTTAATAAAATACAATGTTATAATGCAAAGCTGTATAATAAAATACTGTATCTTGCCTAAGTCAAAAGCACATAAAAGTGCACACGAGAGATAGTGTGTGAGTGATATAGAGAGAGAGAGAGTGTGTGTGTGTGTGTGTGTGTGTGTGATAGATAGAGAGAGAGAGAGAGAGAGAGAGAGAGAGAGACTGAGCAGTGTCTGTAAACCCAATATCCTCTGTGGCCCCCGGGGCTGGGAGTGCACAGCCAGTGCAGGAAGAGATGGGCTGCATTATCCACATCAAAGCTCTGAATTATCTGCCATAATCAATGCCTTTGCATTACTGCCCCTGCTCTCCCACTGCACTGTACAGCACAGCAAGGCCGGGGGAATCATCCAGAGACAGAGAGAGAGAGAGAGAGAGAGCTAGCAAACGAGTGAAGGGGAAATGTCATTATGGGGTGATGTCTGTTCTTAAAATCTTTGTAGGTGCTGTGGGACAGCAGGCATTGGTGGTGTTTAGCACCTTGCTGATGGGTGTGGGCTGATTTTTAGAATAGGTACTGCCAAATTTGAGTTGAAGATCTCAGTTGATCTCTTATGTCATTATCTGTTACTGCATCTCATCTTTGTAAATGTAGCAGTATGGTGCAAACAAACTGCTTGTTATATAGACCGCTGGTGATATATTTAACAAATTACATTTTTGAATTTCAACATAACTGCAGTATATGCACATTGCCTAAATAACCAAATTATAACAAACAAAAAATATGCAAGGTCATTGCCGTTGTTTGCATTTTGAAATTAACTTTCAGGATTATCATAAGTGGCATTTAGAGGGAAATGCTTTCATTTACTCCATTTTATGAGATGAATGAATCATAATGGTAGTCAAGCCACTTTCAGATATAATGACCGCATTGTTCAAATGGAGGGGAAGTTTAATCGCTGTCCTGTGATAGAAAGGAAAAGTTGTTGTTTAGCGCCCTCTGGTGACTAGATTAGCTACTTTTTGACTCTTATCTTTACCTACTTTTTAACCAATTAATTCTACGGTTATTTTCGTTAACTTTTCGTTACTTGAAACTAAATTAACAGAAATAAAATAAAATATGGAAACGCTTTTATTTAAGCTAGTTTAATAGAATAAATAAATTGATAAAAAAAAACTATTTAGGCTTTTTTTTTTTAAACTGAACATATTTAGTAAAACTTTAGGTAAAATTAAAGTGAAAACAAAATATAAAAATACAAATTCTAAATATTAACAAAAGCTATATTAGTATACGAATAATACTAAAATAGCTGATTCATACAGAAACAAATTTGAACTATTATTGCAATGTGTAAAAAAAACTCTAAAATAAAATTCCAATCCAAATATAATTAGGAAACAAAGCTTTATACTTTGGAGTTCAGGTTCAAAGTACAAGAGAAATAAACACCCTCAGGTGTCAAGAGGTCAAACATCTTTATTTCAAGCACAAACAATTACAAGATGTAAAGTTACACCCACAAAAGAGATAAATGCTGCAGATGTAACAGTTTGTAAAGTATATGAATTTAAAGGGGCACTCCAACACATTTCAGTAGATGCATTTAGTCAGGATATCACACATCAAACATCATTTTCTTTGAACACAGCATTGTTCTACAGTTCTAAGAGAAGAATACCTTTAGTCACATCAAGATATTTAAAAAATGTCTACATATCCAAGCTACCTGTAATGCTACAATCAACCGCTTGATGACAACACAAACCATTCATTCCTTGCCACTCTCAAATACTAACAATTGCACTGTAATAAAGGTAAACCTAGAAAACTCTACACTCAAACATAGCAATGTCCCTTCAAGTGTCAGAGTCTTATGAAGAAAAATAAAGTGAAAAAAAAAAAAAGATTAATGCAGATATTGTAGAAACATTCAATGTACCATGACAAAAACATCCCAGCAGTTTCAGACTATAAAAACAGAAATGTTGATGGAGGCCCTATAGCTGCCAGTGTTTACTAAGCAGAATTTTTATGTTTGTTAATTTTATAATAATTTTTTTTTTTTAATGTCTTCTAACCACTGTTTAGATATAGGACAAAATTGACCATTTGACAGATTTAATTTTCCATACAGTATAGCTGAGAATTTAGATAGCTTACAGAAATCACTGTTACCCCATGTGCTATCAATCACTTTAAAACAGTAAAACCCCTCACCAGCTTACATTACATATTAGTGGTCTACCGAAGTATCAGCCAGACTAATAAATAAGCAGATATTTGGCATTGGCTGAATACTGTGTTGGCGCCTCCTTGTGTCAGTTACAACATCAGACAGCTTTAGATAATGTGATTTTCTGTTTTAAAATATTTCTTATTTTTGTGTTTGCCTTTTCTATGGCTTCTATATACAATACTGTTCCAAAGTTTGGGATAATTTTTTTTTTTTTCATTATTATTATTATTATTTTAAATGAATACTTTAGAAAGATGCATTAAATTGATCAAATGTAACTTAACTGGTACCAAAAAAAATACATGTTTCAAATAAATGCTGTTATTTTCAACTTTCTATTAATCAAAAAGATGTGAAAAATTGCAGCATAACTGTTTTCAGCATTTATAATAATAAGAAATGTTTCTTGAGAAACAAATCAGCATATTAGAATGATTTCTGAAGGATCATGTGACACTGAAGACTGGAATAATGGCTGCTGAAAATTCAGCTTTGCATCACAGATATAAATTACATTTTACAATATATTCAAATAGAAAACAGTTACTGTAAATCCTAAAAATATTTCACAATTTTTCTGTTTTTACTGTTTCATCAAATAAATGCATCTTTTAAAAACTTTTAATATTTCTATATAGTGGGTCATCCTGCAATCTGCATGGGCCATTGAAAAACGTGCATCGGTCGACCACTATAACATATATGCATAATTTTCTACATAAAGGATCACCTCTGTGACATAACAAAAAAAACAAAAAAAAAGAATACAATTTGCATAATTAATGTACCCAAATGAATAAGAAAACCAAGAAAACCAGCAATCACCTTTTACATTACAGACAATACTCAACTTTTATTCCAGTCAAGGTATACGATACTTGCAAATCATTCATCTCCAAATATTTACATGCTTACAGTAGTATTGACTAGGCTACTAAAGGTTGTGGTGCATCATATGAAGAGATGACTCAACAATATAAAAATAACTATCAGTAGTCACATGGTATTGTAATAAACAAGATACTTCTGAAAGACTTTGTGTCAGCTGTGATTAAATGCTGTTTTAGTTCTTACTTCATACGGCATTATCCAATTCCAAAGCATAAAAACTAAAAAGGCAGTGCCACCATCACCAATAGGAGCCACTGGAAAGAGGGCAGCATGCAGAGAATGAGATTTGGACGGGGAAAACTGGGAGGCCTCTAAATCTTCTTCCTGTTCATTCCTGTCAGAAAGAAACAGTTGGATTGGTAATAACAGAACACAAAAGGGAGGAATTCACTAGACAGTTGCGCCACATTTGCATGCTGTATTTTAGTGGGAAAACGTATTCTTATTCACTGACCAACTGATAACTTTCTTATCTAATTCTGGGAAGTCCCCCGTCAACGTTTATTATAGCTCGAGAATGCTTGTCAGATTTCACGATTTGTTTTGTATAGTAGTATGAATGATAAAATGTTGCTGGCAAACTTCTCTGACTTTCTTTGTAGTAAATCTTGAATTTCTGCCCAGTCTGTCCTCATTCTGATGTGAATATGTGGAAACTCAGTGGATACAGACACGTTGGCTTCCTTCCCAGAAATGAGACCAAAAATTGGTTCATCCATTCAGAAAATATGACTACAAGATTTGTCAACTCAACACGTTTTGTAAAGACATTCTGGCACTGCAGGTGTCGATGGAAACAATCACTGGGCTATAGAGCTCAAACATACAGCACATGTTGCAGTTAACATTTTGTCTTAAATTATAACTAGTGCAAAATCACAGCACCTATATTTTCAGTGGTCTTTGTTGTGCTTATGGCAAGACAATTCTTCGTTTAAGCAGCAATGTGATTAAATATGCATTCTGCTTTATTGCATCAATTTTTTCATCTTTTATTGTGTGTAAAATAATGAAGTCACTGGCAAAAAAGTTATTTTGTGACCAGTCTGACGCAAGTCGGGCTCAGAATGACAGCCTCATTCATTTATGCCCAAGTAGAATTTAACATGGGCCCTCTATGCCAGGGAGCGATCTATTATTAACTACTGTACCCAGACAACACATGCTGAAGATAAATGCTCTGGACAAGCTATGAAATGATGTGAGACTTCTAGTGCAACTAAAGCAAACAGATTCTTCAAACTGTATCTTTTTTTTTTTTTTTTTACAGGAAACATACATGTATCACTGAGAACAGAAAACTCTAGCCCAAAGTGAATAAACTACTGTATAAAAAAGGTTTGAGGTCAGTATAATTTTGTAATGTTAAAAGTATGAAAGTGTTTTTTTTTTTTTCAGGATTCTTTGATGAATAAAAAGTTCAAAAGAACATAATTTATTTGAAATAAAACAATCTTTTGTAACATTGTAAATGTCTTTACTGCCATTTTTAATTAATTTAATGCATCCTTGCTGAATAAAGTATCAATTTCTTTAAAAAAAAAAAAATCTTACTGACCCCAAACTTTTTAATGGCAGAGTATGTGATATTAAATATAATAAATTATATAATAAACCCAGACTTTAGTTCTATTAGACCATTTGTTGTGAATGTTTTGGTTACTGTACCTTTAAGACCTCTATGTAAATGCCCTCCTTTTCTAAAAGCTTTTATTTCAAAACATCATAAAACATTTGATATTTTATATGAGCCCTTTTAAATGACCAAGGTAAAAGGCATTTCTACACTGCACCTACAGAAATGTGTCCCTTTCCAAACTATTTCAAGTCTTACAATCTAGATGACTCGCGAGGTGACCCCTGTACTCTCGATGACGACAGTCCTGTCCTCTTTAATGGGTGGTGTGTACTGGTAGTCATCACTCAGCAGACCCAGAATAGGGTACTGGTTCATGTATCTGTTCCATGATAGGAAAAAGTTTACAATGATGATTAGGACCGAATTGCAGTTTAGTTTTCACATGGTACTTATATGCAATAAACACACACACACACACACACACACACACACCTCTTGGTAACGACAGTCCTCGTTGTACTGCTGGAGTTGTCGATCTTCTGCTGTTTGAGTCGTCTGATTTCCTGAGAGTGCAAGGTCATAGGTCAGAATGAAGTACTCCAGTAGAAAAGAAGAAAGGTTATCTGTTCAAATTGTACAATGAATTCACATTCCTCAAGAGTAATGAGGCTGAGCTAACGCAGAGATGGAAGAAAACAAAAGAATGTCAACTATGACATTCTTGCTTATAATAAGGGTGCTCCGATCAGGATCAGGACGTGAAGCGTGAAACAAATAACACGTTCTACGGAGCCACTAAAGAATTAGCCGCTTGCTAGAGGTAGCCTGTTGCATTACAGTACATGAAAGTTCACTTACCACATACACAGAGTAAGGAGAAATGTCTGATAGGACAATGGTGAATGATTTGCAGATCATCTAATCATCTTTGACAAACATCTAATCTTGTCAAATGTGTGGTAAGTACTGCCGCTCCATAGTATAGAATCCTTGTGATCGCGAATCTCAAAAGTGAAAGTGAAAGTAAAATGAGAGCGCGCAATTGAAAGCGGTTTCAATAGCGGCTCCCTGATGCCCACAATTTATATACAGTCGCCTATATTTACCCAACGATATAATTGCGAGAAAAAGTATTGAAATATTATTTTTTTCATCCTCCCATCTCATAGGCTATATATTCCCTGTAGGGTTTCCTTAGTACACTTCATTTCCTTTCCGAACACGGAACTGGGATGTGGCGGATTGCGGGAGAGGTGGTGGGGGGAAGGAATCACGATGTCAGCTTAACATGGCCTAATTTATACTATTATATTATGTTTTATACTATGTTTTTTAAATTCAATTCCACAGCTATCATAGTACACGTTAAATGTAACTTATTTAGCATGTATAATGAACAAGTAAGATGTTACTTTTCACTGGCATTAGCGCAGTCATTGCTAATAAAATCAATGTAGTGTTTACCTTCATGTGGTCTACTCTTCAGCACAATGGTAACCACAAAAACTTCAACATAACAGAAACGCTTTTAAATGTCTAACATAAAACACATAAAATAACAATTAATTTCAACATTTATTTTTCTTATCCAGTCCTATGCAAAGCATGCTGGGAACTAGAAATACACTACTTAAAACACTTAATTAAAATAAATAAATAAAATAAAAATTTATGCAGAAATTGTCTGTTTAAATTACAAACAATATTTTAAATGTCAAACATAACAGCATTAAACACTAATAGGTCTATCCCTTCATAAAAAAAAATTAATTTCAACATTTACTCTCCTTATCCAGTCCTATGCAAAGCATGCTGTGAACTAGAAATCCACTACCCAATTTCCAAAGTTAACAAGACAATTTATTGAGTTAAAGAAATTCAATTAACGCAGAAATTTGAGTTTAAATTACACACAATATTACTTTAATGTAATGATCAAACAATATTATGTCAACCTGAACCTACAAAATAATGATTGCAACTTAAAAGGTTTGATTAAATTATTAAATTTGAATTTTTAACTTGCAACCATGCATATATTTAAGTTGTGGTAACAGGTCCCCTGAATAAATTTTTTTGACTGTATGTGAGTCGGCCTTATGTGTGTGCACTCTGAGTGTGCATGAGCGCACCATTCCCTAGGAGAGCGCACGAGAGCTGAATGGTTTTAAACACGGGCAAAACTTAGTGATGATGCTTCACTGCCTCGATTGCGCAAGTGACAATTCCTGTGTCAACTGTGCAGCTTGCTTAAAGTGCAGACGCAATGTGGTGATTTGAAGCCTTATTTTGAGAGGAAGCGCACGGTGATCCAGTCAGGCTGTTCGTGAAATTATGTCTCACAGAAAATTATTTAATAAAGAAATATGACTTCATGTTGTTTTCCTTAAACATGTCAATATGGTCTGCTGAAATAATATTATTAAATATCTAATTTTCCAACAACAAAAAATAGTGTACAGAATGAATGATTGAATTAATCTTTAGCCTGGGTTAAATCTAGGTTTATCTACTAATTTAGCTGCACAAAACTTCAAAACCTGGTTTAAAAAGTCACTTTATGTGTTAATTTTATTTCCTTTTTCCTGGGTTTTACAGTAAACCTTGATTAACTGTAATCCTGTTGCTCCATAATTTAAAAGTCAGAGTTAAGTCAGGGTTTAAATGTAAAACTGTTGCTGAGGCATTTCCAGAATGACAGACAACATATGTTACATATCAGAAAAGGCCCAAAAAAGGCGGCGACTCAACACATTGAGCCTTATGTTTTTTCAGCAGGCTTACAAGCTGTCAAATTTTGGTTACTGATGACGGCCATAACTTAAGGAAACATTGGGAAAATGTCACCCATCCACATCACATGGCAGAACTGATAACAACTGCATTGCACGCTTGTTAAAAACAACATTGACAAAGCATTTTATGTCTGTATAATAGTGTTGACGTACCTCCTCCTGGTGTCTGATGACACTTTCATGTTGTTCTAGTTTGGACAGAAGCTCAGAGATACGCATCTCCAAGCCGCTGTCAGAGGTCTGTGTAATGGTGCGCTCGGTCTGGATCTTTACAAGCTGAGTCTAGAAAAGAATAAATAAATATATGCTACATGCATTGAATGTAATATAGAATTGAATTTTATATGTATTGACTGTATTGACATTTGAAGAATTCTACACTACCGTTCACAAGTTTGGGTTCAGTTTGATTTTTTATTTACTTAATATAAAAAATCAATTGTTTTTAACATTGATAACAATAAGAAATGTTTCTTGAGCACCAAATCAGCATATTAGATTGATTTCTGAAGGATCATGTGACACTGAAGATTGGAGCAATGATGCTGAAAATTCAGCTTTGCATCACAGGAATAAATTACATTTTAAAATATATTCAAATAGAAAACGGTTATTTTAAATTGTAATAATATTTTACAATATTACAGTTTTTACTGTGATGTCAATCAGATAATTACGGTCTTAGTGAACACAAAAGACTTATTTTTTTAAAAATTCCAAAAATATTACCAACCCCAAACTTTTGATCGGTAGAGTATATGACACAAATTGTTTGGCAACCATACACAGCCTATATGGATAATTAACTATATTACCAAATTAAACAGTTGTCTATTTATTGAACATTTGAGTCTTTATCACATTGGTCATGACACCATTTTATAAAAGCAATAAGCAACTTGAGGCTGTGTATTATAACAACTTTACCATAGTTAAGTGGGTTTTGTCTAGAAACACATCATCATTTAGTACATTGAGTACAAATTCATCTCAATTCAACACAATCATTCAACTCTTTTCGATTTTTTGTTTCCTCCTAGGGATGCTCATATTGACCATTTAATGTTCGGATAACGAGCGGCGGTTGTCAGTCGGGAAAATTAACCGAAATGAGCATCCCTATTTCCTCCTTATTTACGTATCATTACCCGCATATTCTTGAGTTCTCTGTCCTTCTCCTCTCGTAGATCTTTCAGCATCTGTTCATACTCTCTGGACAGCTCCTGTGTTTTGATTTGGACAGTGGAACTACTGCACTGCCCTGCCAACTGTGGAAGAGATAAATGCAATAAATATGACCTTAGAATTTACACAAGAGACAAGACTGCTTATAATAGCTGTATTTAACAACAATACTAAAACATAATATAATAACATGCAGAGTTGGACTGGATGAGCCAGTCTACAACGTCGCAGAGATTTATCTGGGCTGTGAGTTTGCAGTGTGAATTCAATGTGCTGAGTTTAAATGTCCATGAAACATTTTTCTCTTGAGGTGCCTTTGCTGCACACTTCACTGCACACAAACATGCAGTGTTACCAGTGTAGTTTGCGTCATGAACGACTGACTCTGTGTCGGTTCTTTTAATGAAAAGCTTAGTGAAACATGCCAGCAGAGAATGTAACTCAATGAACCATCCATTTAATTCATATCAGAACTGCTCTTGTGAGTCGTGTCATGTGTATGACAAAGGGTTTTTTTAATAGTTGTGCATGTAACAACATGCAGGCTTAAATAAATTGACACGTTCACAACAAGTTTTTGTTATAAGTAGTATTTAAATAATAAAGTTTTAAAATATTTACAAAAACAGCATTTTTGTTTAGTATGCTGCAAGTGCGTATAATTCTAAAGTAATCTAAAAAACTGTAAAAAAATACAGTTCATTTTGAGATTTGCCCACCTTCTTCTTGAGCAGCTCGTTCTCCTGCTCCAGGGCCCTCTTGCTGCCCTCCAGTTCTTTAATGCGGAAGTCTTTGCTGGGGTCTTTGCTCTGCAAGGTCAGTAGCTGACTTTCTAGAGTACGCTGAGTGTTATTACTTTCCTTCACAGCAGCCTGAGAGAAAGAAAGACATGAAGATCAGAGATGGATCTACATTTATCATATAATGTCATGAGTGTTATTGATGTTGTATTTTTTTGCAGAAGCCATGAAGGGCGATTGAGTGAAGTTTTATGGTGGTGCCCCCTACCTGCAGTTGTCTGTTGTGCTCACGTACGGTCTCCAGTAGTCTGTCATATTGCAGAGCCTGATCTGCCTTGAAGCTCAGATCTCTCTCCAGCTCCTCCTTCTCACTCTCCAGACGCTGCACAATAAAATGAACACAATAAATCCAACTGCAACCAACCATGTGACTGTGCATGTTTAACGTAGTAAAAATAGGCTTACGGATTTTTAAAAGGGAGAAATGCTTTCCGTACATTAAATTTAAGGCAAAATGTTTCATGCAAATTTGTCTGCTAACAAGGACAGGGTGATATCTTCAAAAAACCCTGAACAAACTACAAAACTTAAAATATTGATTCAAGTTTTATTTATTTATTTAATTTTAATTTTGTGAGAAGAAAGGGACAATGATGAAATATACAGCTTAATGGTCATAATTACAGCTGCACAGTTAATCGAAATCAAATGAAATTGCGAAATGCCTGGCTTATTAAATCGCACAGGCTGCAATTTCATTACATTAATATATGTGCTGCATGCTTTAGAGTAAAGCGCATCATTGTGATTTTTTTTCCATGATCCAGTGTTTTCAGTGTCTCAGGGCGGCTTGGTTCACAGTAAATGCTGTTCCACATGAAATCATCTCTGCATCTGCTCTGGGTTTGAGTCGTTTACTGTGCATTTGGGAAGGCAACATGCGTCAACAATCTTTTCTTCTTGTAATGAGAAGTGCTTATAATCTGGCTGTTGTCAACAAAAGAGACGCTTTAAGGGCTCGCTGTGGTTTTCTAGCAAAATAAAAGCTTGATGGTTTAAGGTTTGATAATTAAGAAATTAAAAGATCCAAAAATGAAAGTACTGTAGTTTTACAGTTGTTTTGTAATATAACATTGTTATTATTATTACTACATTATTATTTTTTCTTAAATATTAAAAAAATTCAAGTAAAATATTACAATAGTAAAAATTATTTCCTTTAGTAGTAGTAATAATAATAATTTTATTTGACAGTACCTTTAGTAGTAGTTGTTGTAGTAGTAGTGTTTTATAGGCATACTGATATATCACTTTTTTTAATAATAATAATAAATCACAATCAGATTTTCCCAACATCATTCAGCCCTTGTCATAACATAAAAATATATGACAGCAGAAGACCACAACTGACCAATCACGACCAGTCAGATATCACAGAAACTTGGAAGCATGCATAAGTGTACAAGTGTGTTCAGTGTACTTCTATGTTGTTTCAATCAACTGCTCACAAAGCTTAATTATAAGTAATTAACTTCAGTTGAGTATTTAAGTGAGTGAATAATTAGTGAAAATGACAAACTCAGACACTGACGTAGTTGCTGTAGTCTTCAATAGCTGTTTGCCACACCATGTTGGCTTACCGATTGAAAAGATGTGCATGTATTTGCTGGTGACACAATGATGGTTTGTGTTTAACTGAGCAGAAGCTTTTTTCAGTCAAACAGGAAATGAAAGCTCTGGAAGAGTTACCACTTGCTGTACCAACAAAGCAGGTTGGCTTTTTGTGATATACTTGTGATATCTCACAATAATCTGAATTTATGCTTGCAAAAACAAGATGCATATTATTAAAGTTGACGTATGAAGTCTTGTAATTTTCCCAAGTATAAAAGAAAACATTTTGTGTAAAATAGCTTTATTCGCAACAAAATGAAGCCAACGAAATATTGAAGGGCTGTTGGGTAGCTGTTACATCATACCTTCGGATCTGTTTCTACACGCATCACACCTTGAAAAAGACAAGGTCAGCTGAAAGCTGGGTTGTAAAACAAACGCACGCCCACGAGGCAGAACCTGATATGTTTAATTACCGTATCTACAGTGGAAACTGGGAACTGTTTCTACAGGACAGGAGGTTTTTGGCTGGTTTAGTGATAGAATAATCATACTCACCCTGAGATCGTCCTGCATATGCACTAGCTCCTCTCGCAGACTGCTGAAGGTGGCCATCAACAGACGCATGGTTTTATCAGCCGTCATACGAGTCTAGATGAGAGAAAGACACTTACTTTGTGTCTGAAACTACGTACTTTCAGTATTTAAAATTTTGGGGTTATTCAAAAACATAAAACAAATGACAGCAATTAATCTAATCAAACTAATTAAAAAAAAAGTTGAATGTGTCACACATATTTCAGTTTTATAATGTTGAAAAACTTTGCATATATCTACGCAGAGTATGTATAGAATAACTGTGAGGCTCTGTTGTGCCTGGAGGAACATGTTCCTGGGACAGGCTCATAAACTAATAATCTACTGCTGTCAGGAGAGGTGTCTGAGGGTGAGGTGTACTGAGAGGTGGGTGGGGCTGAGTGGGAGTGGACAGGGCAGACATTCATAATGTGTCCATAAGCTCTCACCTGCAGCAGGTAGCGGATTTGCTGCTTAGTCAGTTCAGACACTCCTTTAGGAATGACACTCTCTATTTCTTCTTTTTCCACCTGCACACACACATACAGACAGACATATGTGTTTAAAAACTTAAGTGTATATATTCTTCAACAAAGAGCTGCAGCAACTATATTACTATATTACATTTACAATACATGTAAGTGTAAACATCCTAATCTTTTTTTATATCTTGAATGCTTAATAAATATTATGTTTTTTTGGGAAGTTACATCACATGATATTTTTACACATTCTCTGCATATTGGTTGCATCACATGACTTAGATTTTGAAAAGTTTAACATTTGTATATATACACATATAAAAACTGATTCACTGTATTTTTTCTAAGAAATAATATAATAATAAATAAAATAATAGCAATAAGTAATAGATTATGTATTACGAGCTACTTAAGGTTTTCTTATCAAGAATTTCATTTAAATGTCTCTTCTTTCTTCATTATGATATCAGGACAGTTCTATCACCCTGATATTTTTTAACTTTATGCCCCAACAAAAATATGAAAATAAAATGAATGAAATTTAAAAACATTCTCATCATAGAAAAAGTGCATTAAATTTACTGTATGAACATTTTAAATTTATTTTTGAACAAATGTCAAAAAATGCTAAATGCAAAATCCCATTTTCATTGCTAATCATAACAATTAGGTTTAGAATTAACCAACTGAAACTTGAAATCCTTTATGCAACATGGAAAACTTTCAGCCAGCTCCACAGGAACTGAACAATTTGCCACTCCCTACCTTGTAGTCAATGGTGGGGTCCAGGAGGTGTTTCCTGCAGAGACAAAGAACAATATGAATGAGTCAATAAAAAAGAGAGCCTTAAAGCAGAGGCGTCCAGAGGTGCTGCTGTTCTCACAATCATTTCTAAGGTGTAAAATACAGAACCTCTTAACTCGCCATGAATCACTGGATTGAGCATTGCTCTTAGACAGTTTTGGACGAGGTGTAGAGGTTTCAGGTTTTTAATCAGTCTAATGAGTCATTTGAGAAAGTGACTGCAGATTAAGTAAATAGATGAGATTTCCTTTTAGATAATGGTCTGTAATAGGTTTTCTCAATATGTGTCAAGTCCTCAATCATCTTGATTGACAGGGTTAATGGTTGCTTAGGGTTATCTGCGTGCAAATCTTCAACTTAAATTTTAAAACACACAGAGAGAAATTCGCTAAGAATGAAACAAGCAATTTGCACAACAAAACTACATCTTAGGCCCCGTCCACACGGAGATGCGTTTAGCTGTATACGCATAAATTTATTAGCTTGCGAAAATGTATTTATTATGAAATAACGAAACATTACAATTCTGAAGGATGTGCTAGATTGTTGATAATAAATAAAGAGAAGCGACTCTACCTTCCGCGGATCTTGGCCACATGCTCGGAGATGCAGGTGTGAATATCTGAGTTCTTGCGGTAAACTTCAGCAAGAAGCTCACCAAAGAAGCGGTTGTCCATCTTGGCAACCGGTTCCACATTGATAACCTCGGTCTTAATCTCAGAGTGGCCATTCTTTATTTCTCTCAGGTCCACAACTTCCTCTCGAATGCTTGAAGTCTCCACCAACTCCGACTGGAAAAAGGCATAAAGGATGTGAAGACAGGATATTTTGAGTGGTAGTGCGAAACTTTAGTTGAGTTACAAAAGATGCTATGCTGTAACCAACTAATCAGCTAAGCAAACAACTCAGCTACAGGATCAATGCTGCTCTTCCTTGAAACATGCAAAATGTGATTCTTACATAAGAACAGGAAACTTCACAAGAAGCCAACAACCTCTGTCTATGTATGCTTTGAAATGAGGGTTCACTTTTTCAAGTATGTGTAAATTCTTTACACTAGACTGTGAGTGAGAAACATCAGCCAGTCCACACCTCGCAGAATCGATCCAGATCAGACACTCCTGAGTGACTTCTCTAACAATACTCTTAAAAGCAGCAAACAAAACTACATGCCGGGAGCTAAGTGGACCATAAATATTTAAGGCCTCCTGGGGAGCGGCAAAAAAATCTCACACATGCAGCAACTAAAGCTGTTGATGAAAGGGTCTTTATGCAAATTTTGCATTCTGTACATTGTCATCTGCTAGAAAGCATTAGTAGCGGTGGAGATGCACAAAACGATCAGCCAATATAAGCATTTTTTTAATTATCTGCATTGCTCTGATTTTTCAATGTCAACTCAAATTTAGGTGTAGAGTGCTTTTCACAATACACAATGTTCAAAAGCAGCTTTACAGAACATTATGGTGTTGTAGTGTATAATGTGGGGCACACAAGTATACTGTATGTATGTGGATATAGTTGACATACTTAAAAATATACGCCAACCTTATATAAAGAGTTGGACAATAGTATAATTACATTCTGCGATGGGAAAAAAATCTGTCATGTTAAAATTCAAAGAAGCTATCCACCTTTTCTGTTGTAAAATATCATGTTTTGATGTCTGTTTTCTCTTTTAAAATGAGATAATAGTTAAAGCTTGAGGTGTGTCGGAGTGGTCGGGCTGGATTCCACTGATCCGTGAGAGAGAATCACACATTGAAGGTTCACTCAGGGTCTAGTTTCATCCAGAATTATAAATGAACTGACACTACATGAGATCTTATGTTTAAATATTGAAATCACGTTGACATAAGTCATTTATCCATTTGACATTACTCTAGTCATGATTCTGATCCATCATTCCTTGGTTTTCAACTTTAAGTAAAAATGTTAGGAGGGAATGTCTGAATCTCACCAAAAAATGCCCAGGTCATATTTCACCCCAAAATCAAAAGATAAAAAAGAATATAAAATAAGATATTAATAAAGGCAAGACACTAGAGGCAAAAACTTTTTTTTTCAGGTACTGATCAATTTTAAGATTTTGGGCTTTTTGGCTTTTCTGTTGTTCAAGACTAGAAGAAATAAAACATCCAATATACACTTTTTGAGTGTTTATGTGTTCTGGAAATTTATGCTAAATAGCAACCCTCTACGCACACCTTGGCAATATAATCGCCATTGGCTAGTACATTTTTTTGTTTACTCGCCAGACTGATATACTATTTTACACACACACACACACGCGCGCGCGTTTACTTAGCTATCTAAATGGGGACATTACATAGACTTCTATTGTTTTTATATACAGATAGTTATACACTTTTTAACCTAAACCCAGCCCTACCCCTAACCCTACCCCTCACAGAAAACTTTCTGCATTTTTACAATTTCAAAAGTAAAAAAAAACTTTGTTTACTTTATTTTTATAACAGTTTTACAAATGAGGACATCCACAAATTGAGGTTTTTGCCAATTTTGTCAGGCTTTGCTCACTTTTGGGTACAAATTTGTCCCCAAAATATGGTTAAGTAGGTACACACACACACACACACACACACACACACACACACATATGATTCCACCCAATCAGCTTATCTTTGTAAAATGGAACAGCTTCTTAAATAACTGAATGTGCACTCTTAACTTCAGCCAATCAAGCATTATATTATGATATTATGATAATTAAGCACTATTTAATGATAGAACTAGTGATTAGAACTAAAACTTGGTAACCATGAATGAATGCATATTTGTCATTTTAACTGAACTTAGGACTGGTGGTGGTGTTTAAGATATTGTTGGTCATAGGTAATAGTAATTATTATTAAAAGATGCTACTACTACTACTACTATTATATGCTGGGTTCATGAATATTAATCACGTTGTCAGTGTTCGTTCGAACTGATTTGCTGAAATCAAAACAGGGACGGTAATAGATGAGCGCCAGCCAACGAGAGCTGATCGCGCATTAGCTCCGCCCACTGCCGAGAAACCGGCATATCTTCTGCTTGTTCTTAAAAGCTGAATAATTCTAAATGAACTCTGTTATTTTGACAGGAAAATACAACAAAGAATATGGTTTACATGTAGCGCGTCGATTCAGCGTGGTATGCAAGACTCTCGCTCTCTCTCTTTGCATGTGTGAGAAACACAGCGCTATCAGTAAAGCGACGGCGAGTCGTGCGCCTTCACACTAGTTTACGGTACGTCAAATACAGGTGCGCCGCGTGCTACATACTGCGCATCCATTGAGTACATGACATGATCCATTGAGCGCATCCAAATAGTACAGATCGCTTGATGGAGAGCGAAACTCTCAAGCGCTCAGTCAGCGTGTTTATCGAGTGTTGAACGCCTCTCACACACATACTGGCGTGTAAAATCTAAGAATTTATTAGCCAATGGCTAATGTTAGACATTATTTAGTCGCCCAGAGTAAGATTTAGTCGCATATGCGAGTGATTTACTCGCAATGTAGAGGGTCGAATAGTGTATATTTAATTTGATAATGCCTCATTTGCATATGTAAACATAACATTACAGAAAACGTGTAATACAAATGACAACTACTATGACTGCACACTTTACTTTTAGCTTTTTTTTTCTATTATTCTCAATAGTGATTCTCATTAGAATCCCATTTGAATCCCACTGTAGTGGGACAATAAAAAAAATATGCTTTTTTGCATCAATTGCAGTCAGTACACTTGTGAACGTCACTTTCACATTTTCATAATTAAGAAAATTAAATTAAGCTTTTTTATTTAATAACACCTTGCAGGTAACCTGCAAGGGGAAAAGAAAAACAAAAACAAAAACTCAAAACCAATGAATTTCAAAAAACAATAACCACCAAAATTTGGCACATTTAACAGATACTTTTCTCCAAAGTGCATACAATCTACACATTTAATTAGTGCGTTTGTTTTCTGGGATTTAAACGTGTGCCCTTAACGTTGCTAGTGCCACGCTCTACCATACAAGCAACTGGAACATGTATCCTACAAGTGCATCTTTTCTGTCACAGTAAAAAGTTCATGTTTAACAGTGAAGCACTATGAGAAAAATAAACTTGTCGAAGTGTTTGCAGGTGTTAGCATCTGTTTTTGACAGCGGGTGTGTCAGTCCTTGAGAACATTCCACACATTCTGTGGCAGAAAGACCAGTGATGGTGTTAACTGGGTGTGTGTTTGTGTGGACTCACTACTGAGCGCGCTGTGCAAAACCGGTTTGAAGCTGCAACAACAATGAGCCGAGCTTGTTAACAGTTGTGCATATTGCTACATTTTTGTTTTTTACAGGATTAGCTCAGACCTGCCAACCTTGGAAAAAATGTTTGAGTACCTTTCCTGTTATACAGTATTTTACAGCAAACAGTAGGATGCAACAATACAGTTAGCCCACTGTTCAATACATACCTTGAGTTTTTTTAACCACGGTTTTCGGTTCTGATGGCATGGCACATAAGAGGATTGTTTTTTTGTTTTTGTTTTTTGCTATTTGAAATTATATATTTTTTTAAAGTAGTACACTCTAATACACTTTAATTAAAACTCCAGAACACTTCTGGACAGAAAAACACGGATTATCATGTCTACTTCAAATTTCTTTCGAGAGAAGTATTATTTTTATGGATTGGCCATTACTTAGTGCTATGAAGGAAATCCCCAGATATCGCTGTAGCTGAATTAAAACATAGAACGTTTTGAATGATGAAACAAGAACACAATAAACACTCGACTCAACTGCTACAATGTATAGTTTATCTGTGTTCTTCAAGCCATCTTGGGTATTTTCATAATGTATATTATAATCCATTGCTAATCGACATTGCCTTTTTTATAGTATAGAATATATTTTCTGCCTCATTCTGTGATAAGAAGCAACGTACATCAGATCACAAAAGGAAGTTATTTCAAACATTTGAGTATGTTAATTATCTATTTTGTTGGTCAACAGGTTTAGAAACACTTCCCTTTTCACAAGACTGTAATGACGCATTTTTTTAATTTTTTGTTTTTTTTGTTTGTTTTTTAAATGTATGTACATTTATAACACTATAATTTGTATTATATTACCTTTGCATCAAATGACAAAAACTAGTTAACGCTAATGCAAGGGTGTTTCTAATACATAATCTATAGGAGTGACGGTAAATTTGACATTGCTCTCTCTACTGACTGCCTTATTAGTCTCTCTATTTTTTTCCTTTTTTTGAAAGTCATGCAAACATTATCATGGAGATGCATTTTCTTTTGCCATTTGAGCAAATGGGAATGCAAAAAATATATTTGTGGTAGTCTCCCATTCACAGCTATAGAAGTGAAGTAAAGTAAAGTAAAGAAATGCGCACCCGCTACGCAAAATGCGTACAGGTTGGCAGGTCTGTTGTGTGAGTTGTGTAGAGTTGTGTGAATTAAAGATTGTGTCTGGGTGTGTTCTTACAAGATTAGAAAGATAAGAAAAAAAATCAATGATTCAAACGTACTTTGAACATTAGTTACGTTTAGCGTCTGACAAGTCGCAGCAGGTTCTGCACATAGCAAGCAAGGGCACATAAAAGAGTTTAGTTTCACTCAGAAACTAGAGGCAGTATCACTAGAACTCAAATTCAACAAATTCCCACTTATGCATACTGAGTTACTGAGTTTGCATTAGTAAATATATATATATATGTGTGTGTGTGTGTGTGTGTGTGTGTGTGCTCTCTTATATGCAAATACCATTCGGTTGTAATGTTGTAACCTCGATTCCCACAGCAGCATTGAGTAACTCTGCACAGGAATGCACAGGAAGTGCTTCATTAAGTTGCAATCCTAAAATAAACATTACAGCAGAGCCATACAAAAAATTTATATATATCCCACCATCTGAAAAATACTTTGTGTTTGGCGTTTAAATCAGCTGTAGGGGTTTTAACTTTAAAAATGATTTAGCATGAAATCATAATTAGGGCTGTCATTTGATTAATCCTTTTCATCAAATTTATATGTAAAGTCCAAGACTGAGTCCAAATCCATTCACACAGGACACATTCTTGTGTTCTTGTTTTTCAAATAATGTATACATTTTTAAGTCATTAAACTTTGACAAACAGGTTCTGGAAATTTACATATGGTTGAGCGGGAATTTTTTTTATCATGTAATAATTACCCAAGAATTAGGAACTGTAGCTTTAAGTGTCCCTTCACTTTGATGTAAATAAATAGCTGAACAAACATTTTTTGATAAGCCTATTCGCAAGAATTATGAGAAGACACTGTTTGAAGACAATCATTGCTACTAAATCTGTGACTGTATTTCCTTTCTGGCTTTGACTTTCCACAATACCTTACTGTCTGCAAAAATAGGTCAATGTGTGAGCCAAAAGCCTCTCTGTTCCAGTGTAAGAACAGCAGGTCATTGCTTTGGTCTACAGTGAAAGGAAGGAGGAGCTCGGTTTTCAAGTTGTGTCTGACCGCAGGAAGCCAGTGAAGAGAGATACAGAGAAAATGAGAGATTTAACATTTGAAGGAATGAAGGTACTTTTTTAGCATTATAAAATAACATTTAAAAAAACGATCAGTTCTCATCAGCCACTGTAAAACAATATAATTCCAAACTATTCATTAGGTGATGATTGTTCTAAATGAAAATAAAGTGAATTCCATTACAAAGAAACTTTTTCACTATTGTTGAACATTTTGAAGTAATTTTGCCGTTTATAATCAAGCAATCCTGGGTCCTTCAGATTCCATTTGAAAGATCATTTACTTAAGGTCTTAACTGGGAATTTAAAACAGCCAGTTCAAATGCTCTCATGGTCCCAGGGACCATACGTGTAAAAATATGAATTATATTTGTACATACTGGAATTCCTCTGCTCCATTAAATTGAAACTTAACATGGTTTTGCATTCAGATTTCGCTCCAAGGAAGTCACTGATTTGCAAGAGTCAAGCCTAAATCATGAGCTGTCAAGCAGTCAAAAAATCAGAGTCAAGTATTGGGTTTTATTCAAGTTCTTAATTTAAACATCCAACTCTTACTAATTAAAAAGCCAAGTCCTACTAATAATGTATAAAATCATGATTACAAGCTGTTTCTAAATGTGCTTTTATTAAAGAAAATATGTATAAGGCTAAATTTATTTTTTTAAATAATTAAAAACTTGAAACTTATGTAAAACAATTACTTTGGGAAAATTCGTGGCAGAGGATTGATCTGTAAAATAGTGCAATATTAAACAATAATCAACAAAATAGCTAACTCAATCCACTACTATAGTTAACACGAATTGTTTACTGATATAATACAGTGGTGTGAAAAAGTGTTGGCCCCCTTCCTGATTTCTTATTTTTTTTGCATCATCAAAATTCAGATCATCAAACAAATTTAAATATTACACAAAGATAATGCAAGTAAATACAAAATGCAGTTTTTAAATGATGATTTCATTTATTAAGGGAAAAAAGCTGTCCAAACCTACGTGGCCCTACGTGAAAAATGAATTGCCCCCTCCTGTTAAATCATGAAAGAACTGCAATTAACCACATTATTTTAGAAAGCTGAGTTAAATTTCACTAGCCACACCCAGGCCTGATTACTGCCAGACCTGTTGAATCAAGAAATCACTTAAATAGAACCT